CACTCCATATATATATATATATATATATATATATATATATATTACATAACTAATATCTGTCACACCCACTGGAGTCTCGTCAAATGCTATGGCTACTTACATACCCTGAAAGTTGCCTCCGTTTTTGGAACCGAAAGCTGAGTTTATCCGCTTACTTACCCTTAAACATACCTGGTTACTGTATATCACATAACCTGCTTTCGGAATACCCCCTAGTCTTTGTTTTGTTTTGGGAGAACTAGTGTAGCATTTTGGCCAATACCTAAAGGAGTTGAGTGAATCGTTACATCCCTAGTGCTTTGTGTTTTGTTTTGTTTTGTTTAGTTTTTTGATCTGTTCTGTTCTGGGGTGTATTCCAGAAAGCAAGGTTAACTTACCATCTGCCAAACCCTGAACTCTCGGTTGATTAACCCAAACCTTGCTTACTCGAGGTATGCTGGTTCCAAAAACGCGTCCGGGAGTAAGTTCATTCAACACAGAGTATGTTCCTGGTAAACACGCAAGACATTCTCAACAGAGTGACGAATCTATATATATATATATATATATATTACATAACTAATATCTGTCACACCCACTGGAGTCTCGTCAAATGCTATGGCTACTTACATACCCTGAAAGTTGCCTCCGTTTTTGGAACCGAAAGCTGAGTTTATCCGCTTACTTACCCTTAAACATACCTGGGTATGTCACATAACCTGCTTTCTGGAATACTCCCCCTGTTCTGTTCTGTTGTTGTTGTTTTTTTTTTATTTTGTTTTGTTTTGTTTTTTAAGGCTGAACTGAAAAAATAGCCTCAACAAGTGTCTACATGCAAACCAAAAGCTACCTTAGCTTTTATGCTGGGTGACTTAATGTATGTTTAATAGCGCTGTCACACATCTGTGCATACTGTATGTTGTGTAAGTGCATATATTATTGTGTAAGTGTATTATTTAAAATAGTATTTTGCCTATTTTAATTAGTTAGTATATAGACTTGAGGGTGGACTCTACTGACTTGTGCCTGCCACTTTTTGTGTTTTCCTGCCCGCATGGCATTGGTTACATCAATAAGATACAATAAGACCAGGGACTTTTATTTAGTGAGTGGATATAAACGAATTACTGGCCACTACATCTCTTTTTGGCCATGTGTCCTGGCTTGCATGTGTGAGCACCGAGAGCTTTATGAATATGAAATGCGCTGCACTGTGATGATGACTCAGCTTTGGTTCTTCAAAACGCTTTGATGTCTGAGGGTGCGACAGAAAGACATGCAGACTCGTCCCCGTTTTCACCGCCCTGCACCCACCTCCCAGCCGTCCAAGGAGATCTGGGCTCAGCGCTTTCTGCCAGTTGCATCACGCCGTAACCCCCCCTCCCACCAGCCTGTTTATTTACTTTCATATTTGTGTCCCCTCGCCAACACAAGCCATCTCGGTGACAGGAAATCTCTTCCCTCCTGCCAGCTCCTTCAGCTCTAATTCACTTATTATTGTGCTTTTCAAAAAGCTAATCAATGTGGGAGAGCTGATGCAAGATCATGAGAGAGAGGCTAAACTCAGGGCACGGCTGCAAACTTTCAGGAGCTGATTGCGACAAGGCCAGCTCTTTATGTCATGCAGCTGTATAGCTGCCATATTCGCCGTTATATGTCACCGACACCCACGTTCACTCAGTTGTTGCTAGTGATTTTCCTCTAATTTAGTTGTTATTCTGCATTTAAACGATTGCCGTATTTGCAAACAAACACGCAGATCGATGTTGCATGCGCCAGTGAATGAATGAATGCCCTTTTTCTTCTTTCTCTCTCTCGCCTCACATTCGTAGAGCGTTATAACCCCAGGCCAGTGTTAATTACGAGTGTTGTGTTTGTGCCCTGCTTGTGTGACCTTCCCATGTAGGCCGATTATGTGTTTATCGCTCATATAGACGCCGTATTGATCAGTCAGCGGGGTACAAATTAAGATTTAAACTTGACGTCACACAATCTATTGAGTTTTGCATTGGAGGCATTTGCAGTATGCAAGATTCATTGATTAAGATATATTTAACTGTGTGAATGTGGCTGTGTGTGAGTTTATGGGTGCTGTCTTCAGGCTAACTTAAAGGTCAAACCTTTGTTATTTAAAAAAAAATAAAATGTGTTTTAGTAGATTGTATATTCTGTATATTTTGCCGTTTTTATTTTATGTAAATATAGGCCTACATTTTGATTAAAATGTTAGTGAGTTAATTAAAAGGGGTATCCACATATATCAACTTTTATTATTTTTTTAATCTTATTTATTTATTTCACTGTATATCTCTAAACTTTTCCATGGACCCTCAAGCACTCCCTTGTAGCCCCCTATCTTGAAAACTCCTGTTTTAAAATTTCAAGGAAAATTCTATTTCTCATAAGACCCCTTTAACTTCAGTTATTCCCACTTTCTCTTTACAGGAAAACAGCACTCCTGAGGAACACACACTCTATGTGTGGGACCACTTCATCTCTAAATCACTTGCGAAAAACGTCCTCATCGTGGCACACAGCTATGGAGGCTTGTCATTTGTGAATTTGGTAAGTATTTGTTAGAGGTTATTATTATGAAAAGCCCTCCCCCTCCACTCCCTCAACACACACACAGTTGTCTTCACCAGTGGGAAAAGCAGCAGAAGAGAGAGCGAAATGATTAAAAATAAATAACACTTAGTTTCTTTGAGAAAGTGCTGCTTTTGTAAACAATCCAGTTCATCCTTGTCCTAAGGCACTATCCACTTCCTTGAGCAGGAGGGAGGATGAAGAAAGAATGAGAAACTGCAATGAGAGCTACAGCTCTGTTAAAGCATGTAGACAAGTATGCATAACAACAGACCCTGAGAGAAAAGAGAAAGAAGTCATAGTCTCTCATTTGGTCTAAAAAATGTTTTGTGTAAATAGGGTTAATGCACCCTAAAAAGAAAATTTGATCATTTTTTTATTAATAAATTTGTGCAATTATTAGGAAACTAGATTACATAATTTTCCCATTAACCTTAAATAGAAAAAAATACTTAATAATTAACTAATAAAAAACATATAATAATTATTTGTAATCTAATAACATATTGACCATTTGTAAAATGTGGGGCCAATATAGACATCCTTATTTTCAGTGCCTTTAATGAACCTCCCATCTGTTGGATCTGTCATTTTCTTGGCCTGTTCAAAGATAGTTATTTTCCCCCTCACTAAATCTTATGTTTGAGAAGATCTCCATCAGGTTAGAGCATTGTCCTACATTAAAGGCAGAGTAAGTGATTTCTGGTAGCCAATGTTGATATTTGAAATCACCAAAACAAACACGCCCCTACCCCAAAAGGGTCTTGCCCCTATTTTGATAGCTCCGCCCCACACATACGTACGCAACCCAGGCAACGATTAGTTCTGTGAAACAAAGCAAAACCAATGTTACACCATGTCTACCCCTTATTGCTGTTTAGCTACAAGTTTGTTTTGCGATTCGGCCCGAATCAGTTTTCTAAAGTGTTTTTGAAAAATCACTTACTCTGCCTTTAAGATCATTGTCTTCTTGTATTCTCTTAAATTGTTCCAATGTTTGAAGAAAGCGTCTTCCAGAAACTGGTAGTAGTTGGGAGTTGATTTTCAGTTCTTCTGCCACCAGAGATGTACTTCTGGAGGCTCCAGGTATGTTTTATGTCTAGGAAATGGTGGCACTAGATGCTTAAAGGTTCTTAGTGGCTTCACGTTTCATTCTTTTACTGTAAATGTGCACTTTTTTTTTCTTCTCAACCCATTTTTCATCCTACCGAATATGCTGAAACAAGTTTTGAAGTCATTGATGGCAAACGGAATTGGTTGTTGTATTTCACATGATCAATCTCAAGCAAGAACTTCTGAGAACTATAGTGGAGGTGAAGATTTCTATCTATTGTATGATTTTACAAGACTTGAAATATAGTGTATAAGTCTTATGAGCTACTTTTACAGTGCTATATAGTCCTTGACAGCTAATGCCTCATTATATGGCACAGATTATTAAGATCATTCTCTTTTGTTTTTCACGGATGAAATTCAGTCATACTTGTTTCGAATGACACAAAGAGAAAATGATGACCACATTTTATTTGATGAACTAACCTTTTACCTCAACCTCGTGAACAGTTTTCAGCTATGTACCCTGTGTTACATCACCTCTGGGGTCGAAGGTCAGGTAGCTTGTCTCAATCTCTAGTCTAGGTGTGTGCATTGTAAGGACAACTTTCCCAGGAGCACTCTGGCTAACCTTTGACCTAACATAAACACACACTTTCTTCTTTCTTACACACACACTCCTACACCTTTTCATGAACCCGTTCCACTTTTCTTTTAAAGTGAGAAAAGGGAGGGTGGAGCGGATGGCCACGATTTAGCATTCCTCTGATAATTCCAGGAATATGTGTTTTTATCTGAGGCAGGAGTCTCTGTGTTTCGTAATTTGAATATAACTGTTAAATATTTATGTGGCGTTGTGGCCGTGACAGCCCCTCGCTGGTGGAAGCATGGGCGGTCTTCCTCCAGAGATCTGTTTAGCCACCTTTCTCTGATGCATCCCTGTTTTTTGCCCCTTTTCTCATTTCCAAACACGCACACACACATAGACGGAATGCTCACTTATACACACTATTTCATATACAAACCATGCTTATGCCTTTCATTGGTTTGGTAATCTCTGGTTTGGAGTGGCAGGTGTATTCTGATGAATTGGATGACTGGAGGACTGAACTTAGTCGCCAAAAATACAGATTATCTGTATAGATCTCATGAATAATGTTGTATAACATCTCAAGTCAAAATTGTTTAATCATTTCAGCTGTTTGACATACTATTTTTTATAGTTTTGTAAATGCACTGGTAACTCCTCAAGCGAAACTTGAATAAAATGAGTATTTATTTTAGTTTTTATTTATTCATTCATTCATTTAACATTACACTAACAAGAACTCAAATCATCTGTACATTTCATTGACTGTAACCCTATCTAATGAGAGGGCCGGTCATAGCAGATTGCCTGAAAACAGGCCTTCTGTGGCTTAATTACTGCTCCCTTTAACTCCTAACAAACATGTTTCTGATCAGGCACATCAAACACAGGCGGATTAATGTCTCCAGCATGTTGCCTCTCTCTCCCTCTCTTTCTTTTCATTGAAATTCGATTTCTTTTCGAAGGCAGTATGTGGTAATTATAGATACATCAAAGTGTGCCTTTAAGTAAGAGTGGTGCGTCAGGGTTGGATAGCTTTATGTCAGGACTCACTCTTCCATCTCTGTGTGCCTGATTCAACTGTCTCTGTTTCTTGTCATATCTGTGCCATGAATTCTGAGTTTGAGGAGACTGTAGACAAACTGTTCTCTCTTCACTCTCTGACACTCTGTTTTTCCTTCTTCTGACTCTATGGCTGCGTTTGAATTCCTGTTGCTTCATAGTATGTACTGAATTTGAACTTATCAACCATTAATGTGTAGTATGAATACATTACCAGATATACTGCATCCACCATGTTGACATTGTCCTGTGTCTTGTATTCATTGATCTTTAATTAATTATAATGGAAACCAAAAAGAATTAAATTATTCTGTTTCGTATTCCTCTTAATCATTCTGGTTACTTAAAGGTTTCTGGTTACTATTCATAATGTGTATCTTTAACCACATGTTGTCATAAACAGTCAGTAATTGAACTGATTTAAAGGGGTCATATGATGCTGCTAAAAAGAACATTATTTTGTGTATTTGGTGTAATGAAATGTGTTTATGCGGTTAAGGTTAAAAAAACACATTATTTTCCACATACTGTACATTATTGTTTCTCCTCTATGCCCTGCCTTTCTGAAACGCGTTGATTTTTACAAAGCTCATCGGTCTGAAAAAAGCGAGGTGTGCT